CCAGGTGACCCGGGCAGGGGCCCGAGGAGGCCTCCAGGTTCCAGGGACACCCGCCTCCCCCCGAGCCCAGCGGGGCTTGGTTCTGTGCAGGCCCCGGTTCTGAGGCCCAGGCCCCGGAGCGTGTCTGTGTCCCTGCACGGCCCGTCCAGGCCCCTCACCTGCTGGTAGTAGACGTAGGCCAGGACGCCGGCAATGATCTCCAGCAGGAAGATGACCAGCAGCAGGAGGAAGTACTGGGGGCAGAGACAGCCCTGTTCTGGGACAGGGGGCTGCCACTCTCCCGGACGCGTCTTCCCCCAGCCGGGGACCCCCGGGGCTGAGCAGGAGGGGAGGGCCCGCGTGCACCCACCAGGGCCCAGCCAGCCCCGGCCCGCCTCCCCACCCCAGGCCCCATGCCCCGCTGACCAGGCGCAGCAGGTTTCGCCGCTCCTTGAAGGTGGCGCAGCAGCCCAGGATGCCGGTCACCATGACGATGACACCGGCCACCACCAGGATGTAGGCTGTGGCCAGGTAGATGCCTGAGGCCAGCAGGCTGATGTAATCACTCTTGAGAGCCAGCGTCCAGATGCCCACCGCCATGACAGCCAGGCCGGCCAGCTGCAAGCAACGCACGCTTGTCACCACAGCTGGCCGGGCCCAAGTCGTGGCCCTCGAGGGCGGGGAGCCGGGAGGGGCGACCCCTCCTCACCCAGAAGCAGCAGTTGAAGGTGAACAGCAGGTACTTGAGGCAGACGGTGCCACAGGTGGCCTTCTTCTCGTTGAACTCGCCCATCCTGGAGCTGGGGGGAAGGGGGGAAGGGGGTCAGGCATCCACAGCGCCAGGACGGCGGGCGGCAGCAGGGACGGGAGGGGAGGGGACGCAGGTGCCCAGGCTGGCCCAGGAGCCAGCCTTGTCCTGGCCGTGGCCCGGGAAGGAGCAGGACCCTCATTCAGCCAGGTGGACCCCGGTGCCCACAGGTGGGAGGGCCACGGAGGGCCTGCACCGTCCGGCTGACTCACCCCTCCCCTCGGTGAGCTCACGCCGGCCCCGCCCCCCACCGCATTCCCGGGGCCCTGCGTCACAGGCTGGCAGGAACCCACTGGCCGGCAGGGGGGCGGAGAGGCCACTCGGATACAATCCCCTGGGGCGGCTGGGCCCTGAGGCTTCCGGCCAGTTTCCTGCCGGTGGAAGGGCAGCCTTTCCTCCTCCAGCCAGGGTGGGAGAAGGGAGGGGCCGCCTGCTGACCTGGGGGCTTCTGCCGTGGGGGCGCCACACCCAGCCGCATGCGCAGTGCAGACAGGATGCTCCTCCCAGTGGGCCCAGCCCTGCAGACACCCCGTGGAGAGCAGACGGCAGCTAGGCGCCCCGGGCCACGTTTCCAGACACGCAGCCAGGGCCGGGCTTGAATCACAGCTGCTCTGTCCGGCTCAGCACTCACCGGCTGGATGGGACAGTTCCTCTGGGGACAGGTGGACGGAAGTTCCCAGGACGCTCAGCTGGGGGGCAACCAGAGGCCGCGGGTCACCGGCCTGGCCTGAGGGTCACTCTGGAGGCGGAGAGGCGAGCCAGACCTGGTGTTTTGGTCCAGCCTAGGGTGGGGCAGGGCAGAGGACATTTCTGGACAGTCTGATCCCGGGAGGAGCCTCCCGCCTTCCCCTGGTGCCCCACCCCAGACATAACTTTAGACCTGTCACTGCCCCTCCCCCACCAGACAGCAGCAGCCGCAGCCTGGGAGAGACCTCCACTGAGGCAGACGGGCACAGATGCCCACTGACCTGAGTGGACAGACCCCCACCACTGAGCCAGAGGGAGCACAGACCCCCACACCAGTGAGCCGGAGGGGACACAGGGGCCCCCCCACTGAACCGGAGGGGGCACAAACCCCACCAATGAGCCGGAGGGAACACAGACCCCCCCACCACTGACCCAGAGGGAGCACAGACCCCACCAGTGAGCCGGAGGGGACAAAGACCACCACCCCCACCAGTGAGCCGGAGAGGACAGAGATCCCACCCCCACCAATGAGCTGGGGGGAAACAGCCCCCCACCAGTGAGTCAGAGGAGACACTGACCCCACCAGTGAGCCAAGGGGACACAGGACCCCCCCACTGAACCAGAGAGGATGCAAATCCCACCACTAAACCCGAAGAGACACAGACCCTCACAACTGAGCTGAAGAGGAAACAAACCCCCCACTGAACTGGAGGGGACAGGGATCCCCGCCCCTGAGCCGGAGATGGGATAGACCCTCCCCCCCACCGAGCGCGAGGGCACAGACTCCACCACTGAGCCGGAGAGACCACAGGCCCCCTCCACGACCGAGTGGGGCCCAAGCCCGTGCTGCATCCCTGAGGGCGGACACAAGCTGCCCCACCACTGAGCAGGACGGCAGGCCCTGCCCGCCTCGGGCCTTCTCGGGACGCCGCTTCTGGCCCAGGCGACCCGCCGGGCGGCCCCTCTTCCCAGGAAAGCCCGGCGGACGCGCACGCCCTGGGGAAGGGCCGGCGTGGGAGTCCGCGCGGCCAGAAATAGGCCTGCGGCCCCTCCCCCAGCC